ATCAAGGGGTTTGGGCGCTGCCCCTGTCACACTGATCCCGGTGCCGGGAGGCATATTACCCTTTTACTATATAGGATAGAGGCCTGGTGCACAGGTGGGGCCGGCTGGTTTGCCCTGAAGGGTGTCCTGGATCAGGGTGGGGGTCCCCACTGGGGTGCCAGGCCAGTCTGGGTGAGGGGCTGAGGGTTGTTTTCAGGCTGGCTGGTGACTGAAGCTCCCAACCGCTCCTTTTTTTATTTTTATTTTTTATTCTGGACCAGCTTTAGCTCTGAGGCTCCAGCTCTTAGGCCTCCGCTGCTGAAAGCAGGTTTCTGGCCTTTGTTTACCTTCTGTATTTGAAACAATGTTGCGATTCTGCTGGCTGAAGCCCGGCGGACTAAAGCAGGTTTCTGGGGTTTTGTTTAGCTTCTATATTTGTAACATAGTTGCTTAGAGTTGCAGCTCAGAGGCTGGCAGCAGCAGGCGGGAATGCTGGAGTCCTCCGTCACTGAAGCAAGCAAGCCTCATGTTCGCTTCCAGCTGCCTGGTTGCCAGCCGCCATCTTGGCTGGCAGTTAATTTGCATATCGCTCTGATTAGCCAATGGGAAGGGTAGCGGTTGTACACTAATTACCATGTTTCTCTTTTATTAGATAGGATATTTGTATTTATTTTAGAGAGGGAGAGGGGGAGAGATAGAAACATCGATGATGAGAATAATTGGCCGCATCCTGCACGTCCCCTACTGGGGATGGAGCCCACAACCCGGGCATGTGCCCTTGACCAGGAGTCAAGCCGTGATCTCCTGGTTCATAGGTTGATGCTTAACCACTGAGCCACACCAGCCGGGCTTACATTATTTCTAATGGGAAAAAATGTTTTGGTTTTTGAACAAATCACTTCCTGAACAGCCTTCCAGAATGAATTAAGTTTGAGAATCGAGGTTCCATTGTATACAAAAACAACGGGCTGAGCTTGCTCAACTAAAGCTCAGTCTATCATATAGGCTGCACGATGTGACTTCCCATCACTACCCACTGAGTGAGGAATTTTTTGATTAACACATCCTGTGTTGTTACTTTCAGTTAATGAGTTTGTAGGGCTTGTCAAGGGAGCCCCTCTTGTGGTTCAGTTAAAAAAAACCCAACAGCTTTAATGTTAGATACGAAACCATAAAAATCCTAGAAGAAATGATAGGCAGTAAAATCTTAGACATTTCTCACAGCAATATTTTTCCTGATATAGCACCTCAGGTGAGGAAAACAAAAGAAAAAATAAACAAAATGGGACTACATCAAACTAAAATGTTTTTGCACAGCAAAGGAAGCCATCAACAAAATGAAAAAACAACCCGCCGAATGGGAGAACATATTTGCCAAAGGTACATCTGATAAGGTGTTAATATCCAAGATATCCAAGATTTACAAAGAACTTATAAAACTCAACACACACACACACACACACACACACACACACACAAATCCAATTTGAAAAATGGGCAAAGGACCTGAATAGATACTTTTCCAAAGAGCAGTGGTTCTCAACCTTGGCTGCACATTAGAATCACCTGGGAATCTTTTTAAAAGCCTGATTTCTGGGCCTCATCCTCCGGAAATTCTGTTTCTTTGTTACTAATGTTGTGGCCCCACCCCATAACAAAGACACAGAATTTCTGGAGGATGAGGCCCAGAAATCAGGATTTTAAAAAGATCCCCGGGTGATTCTAATGTGCAGCCAAGGTTGAGAATCACTACCAAAGAAGACATACAGAAGGCCAATAGACATATGAGAAGATGATCGATATCACTAATCATCAGAGAGATGCAAATTAAAACCACAGTGAGATATCACCTCACACCTGTCAGAATGGCTACATTCAGTACGTCAACAAACAAGTAGTGCTGCTGAGGATGCAGAGAGAAGGGAACCCTCCTGCACTGCTGGTGGGAATGCAGGCTGGGGCAGCCACTGTGGAGAACAGTATGGCATTTCCTCAAAAATTAACACGAAACTGCCTATGAACCAGTGATCCTACTTCTGGGAATGTATTTGAAGAAACCAGAAACACTAGTTTGAAAGCCTATATGCACCCCTATGTTCACTGCAGAGTTATGTTGCCACGCTACGGGAGTAGCCCAAGTGCCCATCAGTGGATGAGTAGATGAAAAAGCAGCGTTTCATTTCCAGGGGTCCTCAAACTACGGCCCGCGGGCCACATACGGCCCGCCGAAAACATTTATCCAGCCCGCCGGGTGTTTTTGCCGCCGCTGTCTGTTGCTTAGCAGCCGACTAGTTTTTTTTTAAACTATAGTCCGGCCCTCCAACGGTCTGAGGGACAGTGAACTGGCCCCCTGTTTAAAAAGTTTGAGGACCCCTGATTTACACAATGGAATGTTACTCGGCCGTAAAAAAGAAGGAAACCTTGGGGACAGTAGGGTGGGGCCTGGAAAGCATTGTGCTGGGTGAAATAAGCCAGTCAGAGGAAGACAAGTACTATATGATCTCACTTCTATGTGAATCTAATGAACAAAATAAACTAACAAACAAAATAGAAACCAACTCTTAGATACAGAGAACGGACTGACAGCTGTCAGAGGGGAGGAGAGCTGCAGGGCTGGGTGACAAAGGTGAAGGGATTAAGCAAAACAACAACAAACAAGCAGCCTCATAGACACAGACAACAGCACAGTGATTACCAGAGGGGAGAGCACGTGGGGGTAGAAGAGGGTACAGGAGGGGTAAATGGTGATGGAGGGAGACCTGACTTCGGGTGGCGAACTAACAATACAAATACAGATGATGTTTTACAGAATTGTACGCCTGAAACCTGTATCATTTTATTAGCAATGTCACCCCAATAAACTCAGTAATAATAATAAAGAAACAACAGGCCCAGAACAGGGTCACTCATGCTAAGCCCCACATCTGCAAACCAAGACTTAACTCTAGTTCAGTGATGGCGAACCTATGACACGCGTGTCAGAGGTGACACGCGAACTCATTTTTTTGGTTGATTTTTCTTTGTTAAATGACATTTAAATATATAAAATAAATATCAAAAATATAAGTCTTTGTTTTACTATGGTTGCAAATATCAAAAAATTCCTATTTGTGGCACGGCACCAGAGTGAAGTTAGGGTTTTTCAAATGCTGACACGCCGACACATCACTGCTCTAGTTCCAGCCTCCCCGGGATTGTAATCGTAGCCCGCCAGTTTGGCGTCTCCTGGTCAGCATCAAGGAGGTGTTAATACCCAAAATTTAAATTTAAATCCTCCCAACTGTCCCCCAAGAAGGAACATAATCCTTTTTTAAAAAGTGGGACTTCCCTGTCCCACCCCCCCTTCCCATTCCTGTAGCCTCGGGAGCCTTCCTGCTTGCTGGCTGGGACGTCGCCTCACCTGCGAACCCTCAGTCAGCCCGTTAGGCCTTTACAATGTACTTGGTTCACCTTTTGCTGCTTAACAGTATGATAACGGCATCCTATATAACAGCGGGTCTCGTCGAACGACCCTTTCCCAGGGGTCGCCTAAGACCACCCTGCATATCAGATATTTACATGACGATTCATAACAGTAGCAACATTACAGTTATGAAGTAGCCACGAAAATAACTTTATGGTTGGGTCACAACATGAGGAACAGTATTTAAAGGGCCGGAAGGTTGAGAACCATGCTATAAAGCGGTGATGTGCAAATTGACTGTCACGCCCTCATAAGATGGCTGCCTACAACCAGGCCAGCAGAGGGGTTAGTGAAGGACAACCAAAGGACCGAACAGCAGGCTGCATGGGGTGACCAGGCCGGCAGAGGAGGGCAGTTAGGAGCGACCAGGCCGGCAGGGAGGGGCAGTTGGGGGTGACCAGGCCAGCAGGGAGGGGCAGTTGGGGGCGACCTGGTTGGCAGCAGGGGGCAGTTGGGGGCTGTGAGAGGGATGTCCGACTGCCGGTTTAGGCCCCATCCAGCAGTCGGACAACCCCCGAGGGGTCCCAGATTGGAGAGGGTGCAGGCTGGGCTGAGGGCCCCCCACTCCCCGTGCATGAATGTCGTGCACCGGGCCTCTACTATTTATGTATCTGTATAATAGTTATATGTACGATGCCTATAATTACAGTTTCTGTGCAACAGTCCCCTTGTGAGCATCGCATGAAATCCCATGAAACAAGAGGAAGCCCTGAGAGCTCGTCAGGAGCTGGGGAGGCAGCGGGGCGGGGGCTCGGCTAGCCTCCCGGTACCAGGATAAACACCTCGACAATAATGGAATTTCAGGGAGGACCGAGGAGGGAAATACATGCAGGGTGATGCACGCGCCTCCTCGGTAGGATGACTGGCGACGCATAGGCTGCTCCGTTTCTAAGGCCCCTCTGCAGGAATGAAGCTCGGCGAGATCTAGCAGCTCATCAATGGCGCATGGACCGCTGGCTCTGAAACATCTGGAGACAAGTCTCCACCCGGGTCCACCGGGACCCACCCAGCTGACCCCACCTGGAGCCTGACCTCTGACCCCAGGTGACCAGGGGCCCTTCACCCTTCAGGCCGCGTCTCCCGTGGAGCTGGAATGGAGTGTGTCTAGTCTCCGCGACAGACCGAAAGCTGGTCCTGACGGCCTGGAATTGACAGCGGGTTTTAATATATTTTTATTGTTGATGGTCTTATATCTCCATCTGCCCCGCCCTTCCCCGCCCTCCTCCCAGCCCCACCCACCCCGGAAGGGAACGTTCTCACGCTTTGGGGTCATCCTTTACGGCAGGCGGTATCGATCCGTAACTGGTCCCGAGTCGCAGGGAGAGCAGATAGAACGAAGGACAGACTGACAGCAGAACCTTCCCTGCCCCGCCCCAGACCCGCCCCAGGGGACCTTCCCGGGTGCACCGGCCCGGCGCCTGCTCCTGGAAGACGCCTGCGCGGAGCCTCGGGGCGGAACTGCGCCTGCGCGGAGCCTCGGGGGACGGGACTGCGCCTGCGCCCTGCGCGGGGTGGGCGGGGCTCCGCGGGCGGGAGGTTTGAAGCTGGACGGCGGAGCGCTTGGACGCAGTGTGGTCTCGGAGCGCGGAGCCCGTCCGGTCCTGTCAAACGACGTCCTATCCGGGGTTTGCGAGTGGCGGAGTTGATTGACAGGGGCGCCCGCGAGGCTTCCCCACCCGCGCCGGCGTCCCGAGCGGCCATTCCGCGCGCGAACGACAGGGCGGCGCTCGGGAGCGCGGGGAACCGAGGCGCGGTGGTTCTGAGCGGTTATTCCGCGGCCCCCGCGGGCCTGAGCGGACGACGCCCTCCCGCCCCGCTCCCAGGTGGGCCCCGGTGCGGCGCCGAGAGCGTCAGCGTCTCCTCTGGGCACCGAGGGGTGCGGCTCGGACCGACGGGCCGTCCGCCCTCCCAGCGGACGAGAGGACAGAGCGAAGGCCTCGCGGAGCAGGACCCGGACCCGCGGGAACGCGGGAGACGCGTCGGCTCGACGCAGGAAACGCCCGGCCCCGGTCCCGGGGCCCCCGCCTTCACCCCGGCCGCGGAGAAAACCGGGAGAGCGGCCGTCCGCGGGGCCGGGGAGCGGCTCCCGCCTGCGCACTCGCGGGGCTGCGGGTCCGGCTCGGCGCGGTCGGCGGTGCGGCTCCCTGCGGCCCTCATGGCGGCCCCCGGGGCCCCGCGGGGCTTGGTTCTGAAAGGTGAGAGCCGGTTCCTCGGGGGGCGGGTGGGGGCGGGCGGGGAGCTCCCGGACCCCGTGGCGTGTGCGGGGCCCCGGGCCCGGGAGGCGGACACCCCCAGCCCCACGGGCATAGATCCCCGCTTCCCCGCTCCCCGCGCCGGGGCCGGTGGCTTCGGGGCGGGTGACAAGTTAGGAAAAGAAAGCCGCCCTCGGCCACGCGTGTCCCTGCCGTGCGGACACCGCCCCCCCGCGACCGTGCCCGGAGCTGCCCGAGTGCTGGGCCGGCGGGAAACTGAGGCCGGAGCGTGCGGGCCCCCGCCCCTCGGTCCTGACCCGGGCGGCAGGGCGGGCGGGGGCAGAGTTAGGCGCTGGGCGGGGTCGGGCCCCGAGTCAGGGGGAGACCCAGGCCGCCCGACAGGCGCTGCCCGCGTGGCTGTTCCTCTTGCGGCATGTGCGCGCTTCCGCCACTTCCCTCTGCTCCGCCCGCGCACCTGGGCCCCCTTTCCGGCCCTGGGTTGGAGGAAAAGCCGCGGCGTCCGCACCCCGCTCCCCGCCCCCCGACCCCCCAGCTCCCGACCCCAAGCTGCTCCTGTCCCCGCAGGCCGGCAGCTGGGGCTGTGACCGCTGCTCTAAAGGGGGGGGGGGGGGCACAGGAGAAGGAGGGAGACAGGAAAATGCCCTCCGATTCTCCCTTCACCGCCTGTGACGTTTCATGGGAAGACAGCTCTGCCCCCTCCTCAGCTTTGTCTGTGGCAGTGTTTGCTTTGCAGCCAGGACGTCTCCTTGGCCCCGAGTCTGAACTGTTTACTGTCCCGACCTTTTCAGGACTCGCGCCCCGGAGGAGTTGAGCCTGGTTTGAGCACTTGGGGAGCGCATGGAGGGTTCATGTAAACTGTCCACGGCCATGTGCGTGTCTAACGTCGTTCTTTGCTTGAAATTTTAAGAACCATAATAGCACGGATGCTATTTTGAATAGGCTTGTAATTGGAGAAATTTAAAAAGAAGTTTTTGGTGTAAATATAACGAGAAATGTATCGAAAAACTCGGGCAAGGGATGATGGGATTTCAGTATATTTCATGCTGACACCTTGTTTGTTTTCAGATGTAGTGGCTTATGTGGAAGTGTGGTCAGCCAATGGAACAGAAAATTATTCAAAGACATTTACAAACCAACTTGTGGAGATGGGGGCAAAGGTAAGAAATTCATGTCACCATCGTACATGTGAGTAACAGATTCATCTCACCATCGCTACATGTGAGTAACAGATTCATGTCACCATCGTACATGTGAGTAACAGATTCATCTCACCATCGCTACATGTGAGTAACAGATTCATCTCACCATCATACATGTGAGTAACAGATTCATGTCACCATCGTACATGTGAGTAACATTCATCTCACTATCGCTACATGTGGGTAACAGATTCATGTCACCATCGTACATGTGAGTAACAGATTCATGTCACCATCGTACATGTGAGTAACATTCATCTCACTATCGCTACATGTGGGTAACATTCATGTCACCATCGTACATGTGAGTAACAGATTCATCTCACCATCGCTACATGTGAGTAACAGATTCATGTCACCATCGTACATGTGAGTAACAGATTCATCTCACCATCGCTACATGTGAGTAACAGATTCATGTCACCATCGTACATGTGAGTAACAGATTCATGTCACCATCGCTACATGTGAGTAACAGATTCATGTCACCATCATACATGTGAGTAACAGATTCATGTCACCATCGTACATGTGAGTAACAGATTCATCTCACCATCGTACATGTGAGTAACAGATTCATGTCACCATCATACATGTGAGTAACAGATTCATGTCACCATCGTACATGTGAGTAACAGATTCATCTCACCATCGCTACATGTGAGTAACAGATTCATGTCACCATCGTACATGTGAGTAACAGATTCATCTCACCATCGCTACATGTGAGTAACAGATTCATGTCACCATCGTACATGTGAGTAACAGATTCATCTCACCATCGCTACATGTGAGTAACAGATTCATGCCACCATCGCTACATGTAACAGATTCACCTCACCATTGCTCCATGTATTAGACCTCTGGTACATAATTTGGGGAGTTATTAGATATGAAGGGAAAAGAAGACAGTGGGAAAGTGACAGGAGAAAAAAGAACCACAGTAAGAGTTTGGCGCAGTAGGATTTATGCAACGGTTGGTCTTGTGCTAATGAGAGAGGGCTCCAGGGTGAGAATATGGATCCTGCCGTTGGTTCCTTGGCGGCGTGATGCTGTTGGTCAGGTGGGGTATGCAGGGAGGGAACAGGTGTTTAGGGAATGGTTGCGAAGTTGGGACATTGGGCATAGCTGACAGATTTTAGGTGTACCAAACTGGAACTTGAGGTAGTTAAGGCTAGTCACTGCATTTTGTACCAGCATTGAGATCCTCATTTACTAAGAATTGTCGTTCGGAATAAACTTTTGAATTTTGTCAGGTGTGTTGTATGCATCTATTGAGATGATCGTAATGACCTTTTATTTTGTTAATATAGTGGATAATCATTATTGATTTTTTTTTTCCATGTTAACCTATGTATTGCAGTCCTGGAATACATTCAAGTGGTGGGGATGTTCAGGGACAAAAGTAGGTTTGCAGTTGTGGGTACGCAAAACAGTTTATTCTCGAGTTGTTATTTATTAACTAGAGGCCTGATGCATGAAATTCGTGCAAGGGGCTTGGCCCTCGCAGCCCCAGCTTCGTCCAGAAGGTTGTCCAGAAGGACGTCTGGAAGGTCGTTCGGCTGTCGGGCCGACTTAGCATATTATGCTTTTATTATTATAGATTCCTGTACTCTTTTTCATGTGAATAACAGTAAACCGACTTTTGCCCACCCAGTATTATCCTTTTTGTAGGTTGCTACAGTTTGCTGTTTTGTTGCTTATTTTGCAACTGTCTCCATGAATGGCACTCGCTTATACTTTATGAAATTGTGTGCAAATAATAATAATGTAATTCTTTTTCCTGCACTTTATCCACAGGTCTCAAAAACTTTTAACAAGCAAGTAACTCACGTTGTGTTCAAAGACGGATACCCACGCACCTGGGACAAAGCCCGAGAGAGAGGCGTCAAGCTCGTCTCTGTGCTCTGGGTCGAAAAGTGAGTCCTTTCTTTCCTGAGTATCTAGTGTTAGTAAAGCAGAGCAGTATATTTTTCATGGATCACAGAATCGGGTGATGTTTGATTGCCGTCTTTTCTCTGCTTCTCACTGGACAAGTCATTTGACACCCTCAAGCCTCAGTTTCCAAGTTGGAGGGTGGTTATAGCATAGCTTCCCCACCCCACCCCACCCCCACCTCCCGCCTGGAGGGTGATGAGCACACAGTCCGAAGCTTGTGGTTGGAGTGCTCAGGAAACAATAAGGGAGCAAATGCCATGAAGTGATTGTATCAGCTGCCCGGGTGGCCATAGCAGTGTTCCCGAACTGGAACAACAGATGTAATTCTCACTGTTCTGGGAGCTGGAGCTCAGGGTCAGGTACTGGCAAGGCAGGGTTCGTCTGAGGCCTCTCTCTCTGCTTGGTCTGCAAATGGCTGTGCCTGAGTGTCTATGTCCTAATCTCTTACAGAGACACTAGGGGCCCGGTGCACAGGTTCCTGCACGTTGAAAGGAAATTAATTAGAAGGTGGCCAGTGGGGCAGGACTGGGCGAGAAGGGCCGGACACTCCCTGAAGCCATCCTCCCACGGTCCCTCCCCAGCGTCTGCGGAGTGAGCAGGGTCCCTCCGCCAGGTGGTGTCCCTTGACCTGGCCTGTGGGGATGGGGCCAAAACTGGCTTTCTGACATCCCCCGAGGGGTCCGGAGTATCCCCAGCCCGCAGGCCCTGACCAGCGGCAGCGAGCAAGCGGCACCAGGCCAGCCAAGGCAGGTCTGAGCAGGGAGGGGGGCCTGATCACCCCACTAGTCACCCCACAGATAGGCCCTGATCGCCAGCCAGGCCTAGGGACCCTACCGTGTACAAATTTCGTGCCCTGGGCCTCTAGTATATATAGATTAGTCCCATTGGATTAGGGCCCACTCATATGACCTCATTTAACCTTAACTAGGTCTTTGACGGCCCCTCTCCAAATACAGTCATGTTCTGAGGTTCTGGGGGTTAGGGCTTAAAAATTTTCTGGGGCCCAGTGGAGCCCTTGATGGGAGTGTTGAGGGGAAGCATGAGAGGAGATTGAGGTGGGAGAGGTCACGGGCATCCCATGATGCAGTTCTTGTGGGATGTGAGGGAGGAGAAGGTGTGGGACCAGGTCTGGGGCGGAGGCACTGAGTGAGCCAGGCTGGAGGCAGGCGCTCACCAGCGGCAGCTCACGTGAGGATGGTGGTTGTAAGTTGAACGTGAGGCTGGTGGAGCAGGCACGCTCTTTACCCAGCAGCCCACAGCTGGAAGGAGGCGGGCGGAGTGGGTTAATCAGGGCTGGGTTTTGCCAGCAGCCTCCACGGAGGGAGTGGAGGGGAGTGCAAAGCCGTGATAATGAAGGACCAGCCAACGCCAGGCTTGCCCCGAAGGGAGGGGGGGTGGGGGAGGGTGTGGTGAGCGGGCAGTAGGTCTTAGCTGGGTTGAGGGGTTGTCATTTACTTCAAAGTGTTTTCTAATGTGTGTTTGGCAGTTTATTTTACCCATTGGTTGTTTAGGAGGTTCTTGTTTAATTTCCACATATTTTGAGTTTTCCAAACTTCATTCTATTTTTGATTCCTCACTTTGTTCTGCTGTGGTCGGAACATGTTTTGTATTTTTTCAGTCTCCTCCAGGTAATTGAGACGTGCTCCGCGCCCTCACACTGGTCTCCCTGGGAGGCTGTGTTCTGTGGCTGTGGAAGGGATGTTCTCTGTGCCTTTCTGACAGGTCAATAGTAGTTGGTCCATATTTCTTTTAAGTTTTGTGTCCTCCTCTTGATCTGTCCACCATTAAATGGCACATTGACGTCTCCAAACGGCATTGTTAGTGGCTTATTTCTCACTTCAGGGCTGTCAGTGTAGCGTCTCTTTAATGAGATGGCAACACGTCCTTCGTTTTCCTTGTCTGAAGATGCCCTTATTCCGGTTCGTCTGTGGTGCCGTTTGCAGGGACATGCAGCTCCGGGGACAGTGGCTCGTCTTCAGCAGGTCCAGGTGCCCCACAGCCTGCTGTCCTCAGGCTCAGGAGGCCTGGTCATGCCCCTCCTTTCTCAGTTGGAAGTCACGTGCCCTTTTCCTCTGCCTTCTCTTAGTTTTTCTTCTTAACGTTGATTTTCGTACGTTTCCCTGAAGTGCTTTCCTCCTTGTCTTGTGTGGATTTCGCAGAGGTGCTTGAACGTATGAGCTACTAGGTTTTGGCCGTTTTTTCAAGTGGCTTTTCTGCCCCTTGACCCTCTTTGCCTAGAACTTGGATCGCTGCACAGCGGGGATCCGGCTTTTCTGGAAAGGGACAGAGCCATTGGGTGTCTATGGAGCTGCTCGGCTCTGCGGGCGCAGGGAGCCCTGGAGAAGCAGCAGAGGTGGGTGTGATGGGGCCGGGATGGCCTGGGCCTCCGTGTCAGTCCCTCCTGTGTCAGCAGCCTTTGACCTTTGACATCTTCCCACTGTCCTGAGGCCTGGCTTTGTTCATTATTTTTCAGTTTTTATTTCCTCGCCAAATCAATCTTCAAGTTCACTGACTCTTTGTCAACTCTGTTTTGTCATTATGTCCACTTAGTACATTATTTTGGGCAATATTAGTTGTAACATTTCCATTTGTCTTATTTTTATTTTTGTTTTTATTGACTTGAGAGAGAGAGAGAGAGAGAGAGAGAGACAGACAGACGTGGGGGGGAGGGCGAAACAGCGATTTGCTGTTCCCTGTATTCACACAAACTCCTTGGTTGATTTTGAAGGTGCCCCGACTGGGACCGCACCCACAGCCTTGGGTGTAGGACAACTCTGACCCACTGAGCTGCCGGCCGGGCCCTCGGTTCTTTCTCACGTGTGTGTTTTGTGTCTCAGCTTCCCTGTCTCACTGCAGGAGCGTTTCCGTGCAGAGTCCTGTTGTCGTTCAGTAACTGCGTCTTTGGTAATCCCAGCACATGGAGTTGGCATCTGTCGGTGGGTTTCTTCTTGGCTCCTCATGACATCGCTTTGGGCTGAGTTTTGGACACTGTGCGTGTTATGGACTCTGGATCCCTTCATGCTGCCTCCTCGCCCCGGTTCTCCCCTGTTTGGTGCGCAGCTCCTCCCCCTGTCGCAGTGGAAGGGCTCCCGGCCCAGAGGCTCTCTCTGTCCCCCAGTCTGTAGGAGGCCCCTTGGGCGCTCTGCTCCCTGGTTGTGCTGTTAAAACCCACTCTGTTCTGTCACCCACGTGTCTGTGTAGCGGGGGACTGTGGTCTTTCTGCTCCCATGTAAAGTGCCGGGAGCCGGTCCATCCTTGCTGTTTCAAGGGACCTGGCATATATGGCATACTGTTCTTAATATGTTTGCTCACCTTCTTGGCACTATGTGTTTTAACCAAGATCTCTGAGAAAGGTTGTTTCCCCAGGTAGGGATTTTCCCCTGAAGGTAGGGAGGGAATAAAACCTCTTAACTAAGTGCCAGGTGGGTAATTAATCACTTTAACTATGAACAATCATGCTTAAGCTACATAATCTTTACTCCCTGGAATGGAGATAAGAAACGCCCTAACCTTTGGAATAGAGATTGATAGGATTGAATCAACTGGTATAAATACAGATGTAACAAGACAGCAAGACACAGAACTTAGAACACACAGAACTTAGAACACAGAACTTAGAACACACAGAACTTAGAACACAGAACTTAGAACACAGAACTAAGAAGACAGAACCTACACAGAACCTAGAGACAGAAGAACTTCGCTGGAGAGAACATGGCAAAAGATCCTGGACTGAACCTGACTACAGAAATTGGCAAGAGAACCTGACTAGAACCTGGTGACTGAACCTGGCTGGAGAACCTGGAGAACCTAGCAAGAGAACATGGACACAGAACCTGGCTGGAGATCCTAAGCAGAACTTCGCTGGAGATCCAGACCAGAACTTGGCTGGAGATCCTGGCTAGAGATCCTGGCTAGGCTGCTGATCAACTGAACGCTGTCTCTGTGTCATTCCTTCTTCGCCGACTCCATCCACACCTTTAGGGACCCCTGGACCTGCTGGGGTTGGACTCCGGCAGTAAAGTGCATCCCCCGTGCCTGTCCTGTTTATGGCTGTGCTTCCACTGAGCCATCTGAACTCCCCTGGCTCATCCTCGGTGCAGTGACCACGGGTGGGCGAGGAGGCTCTGCCTGCATGACACGTCTTTCCGTGGGTTCCCTTCCAGAGGTGGGCGTCTGGGTTTCGAGGGCTCGCATGCTGCGTTTGTGGTGGATGCTGTCAGATTACCTCTTGGGAAAGTGCCAGTTCCGTGCTTTCCCCGCAGTGAGGCACCTGCCCCACAGCCTCCCTCGCACCGCGCCCTCTCGCCGTCCCCCCTCTGTAGGTGAGAACGTAAAGTCGGTGTCATGCTGCTCCCTTATTTTTCAGTGCACTTGAACTTCCTTCACCAGAACTTAGACCTTTATGTTAGGTTCTGTGTCTGCTTTGTTAGGGGCTGTCCAGGCTATGGCTCCTGTTTTCCACTGAAAACGTGAACAGTACATAGGAAAGGTCACTAGGTGTCGCTAGAATCCCACTCGTGGGGTTATTTCTGGGAGTTTCCTTTCTAAGAACAGACAACTGAGATCTCAGGTTCAAGATTGTTCTTCAACCTGAAGTTTGTCGAGCCTGTTCCTGCGGAGAAAAGCGGGGTGAAAAGGAGCAGTGCTTCTAAACCACCTGCCAGCTGGACCGTCCTGCTAGCAGCAAACGTTTGGTGACGCTGTGAGTCAAAAACAGCAAGCAGCGCGCACCATCTCGCTGTTACCAGTCACAGACGTTCCCGGTCTCAGCACAGGTTTGTGGAGGAGACAGGCCTGGCGTCCACAGGACCCTCAGCTAGTGGTCAGAGTCGGGGGTCAGCCAGGTGCAGCTTCATGATGCTGATAAGGTGATGTTTGCTGGATGGAGGGCAGGTGCCGGCCAGGCCCTGGAAGCCACAGCCCGTGGGGTGTGAACTCGGTGTGAGGACCCAGCTCTGGTGCCATTTGCAGAGTGGGGGATCCTGCCACTCCCCTCTTCTACTGTCTGTTTTGGAAAGCAGTTCCCAGCCCAGCTGGGGGGACAGGTATGGAGAGAAACACAGAGAGAACTGGCTTTGGAGGGAAGATAAGCTTTCTGCCTTCAACCTCTTTGGGGTCCTCCAGCCCTAAATCACTCCTTTTCATTCTGTTTTCATTATGCATTTCATGGCACGTGCTTACACCTTTTTGAGCACCGTGCACTGGTCATTCTGAAGTGGGTTACAAATCTGAAGTTATTGCAGAAGAAGGATGCTTCCTGGGCGTGCCTCTAGCTTTGGCTCTCGGCCTCAGAAACACCAGGTGGAGGAGATGTTGGGAAGTGAGAAGGCATCGGCTCTTGTACTTGGCCACGTGGGCACTTATTTAGTATACGTGTCTGTTAGGTGGCCTGTGTGTGGGTGTCCTCCGTTACACGGGCACGTGCAGGTTTCACACTACGCGTTTAGCAGACAGATGCTCACCAAGGACTTGTCTCCTCACACAGGTGCAGGACGGCCGGGGCGCACATCGATGAGGCCCTGTTTCCTGCGGCGAACACCCACGAACACCTGCCCTGCCTCATTAAAAAAAAAGTAAGTATCTGACCCAGTGTAGGCAGTTACTCATTTATTCATTCTTTTACTTTATTCCTGGAAAGGAAGTTTTTAGCAGTGGAGTCCGGCACTGCCTTCAGTGTCACTGTTGATGCTGCCATTGTCACAGCGTCCTTAGTGGTTTAGAGGTGGTTTTGCCCTCTGGGTGCTTTGAGGGGACCTGTAAGAAACGGGACTGCTGTCGGCCAAGAGGAAACCAAGTCAGGGGACCCGCGCCCAGCTCGGCGCCCTGCGGCTACGGCAGAGGAGCTGGGTGGAGTCAGATGCCCTCGTTCCGTGCGGCTGGAATGCAGAGCCGGGAGAGCGCGGGTGTTCTCACAGGAAAGCTGTGCCGATGGGGACCCGCTTCCCGAGGGCTTCGTAGGCTGAGGTTCATGACTCTGTCACCTTGTGTATGTGTAGTTACACGTCTTGCTTTTTACTGGCTCAGTGGGGTTACTGTGATTTAGAGATAAGATTAAGTTATGTTTATTTCCTTTGGCAGTTAAGAAATGACTGCTCTTGTGTTTTACTACTACGTCATAATGTTGTGGGGCAGGGAGAGACCATGAGAATGGCAAATGTCAATAGCAAAAGTAAGAAGGAGACACCATCTTCATGGGAACGAAGAATGCTGGGGTACTGAGTGCCCCAGAAGCAGAGCTGCTGGTACAGCCAGCCCTAGTGATGTATCGTCGTGTTTTTTAAATCCTCCCCCGAGGTTGTACTTATTGGTTTCTTAGAGAGTAAGGGAGAGGGAGGACCACAGACACTGATGTGAGAGACTCCGTGTGGATTGCCTCAGCCCACACCTGGGTGTGTGGCTGACCGGAAGGAACTGAGCCTGAGGCCCTTCGGTGCGCGGGCTGACGCTCCAACCAACTGAGCCACCCGGCCAGGGCCCTTATATGTTTTCACAATCGTACAAACTCACATGTAGTGCAACAAATGCCTCCTTAGGGTTTCGTCATTACTGTGATCAGAGATGCCCGGAATGGACATGAGCAGGTCCCGTTCCTGGCCTGCACAAAGGCAGCACTGAGAGTTAATGTCTGTGTTCTTTTTTGCACAGCATAGGTGTATGCAGCCCAAAGATTTTACTCCTAAAACACCAGAAAATGATAAGAGACTTCAAAAGAAATTTGAGAAAATGGCTAATGAGCTACAAAAGCAAAAAACAACATTAGGTAAGAAGAAATATGGCACCCTCCTTTGTGTTTGTGCTTGCACACCGAGGTAGCCAGTGGCATGTGGGACGGCCTCGAGAGGGGGCCTGCAGCGGCTCCAGCCAGGGAGAGAAAACAGAATAAAGTCGCCTGTGACTTGATAGTGGCCATTGCAGGGCCATGTGGCTGAGCTAGTCGGTCCCAGAACAGTTTCTGCTTATTGAGCTGTAATTGGCATCGAGCAGGATGTCAGTTTCAGGTGAACAGCCTGATGGGTTGGCATCAGTTACACCTGTGAACATCCAGCACCAGGCGTGCTTTGGAGGTGCGCTCGCTCAGCAGGCTTCACATATTGCGGCCCCTACGCCTGCTGCCACAGTCTGTCCTCTGTGTCAGTGCGTTCAGGGGCTGCTTGTTTTGTTTGTTTTGTTTCTTTCAGAGTCCACATCTTAGTGGTTTCATACAGAATCTGCCTTACTTTGTCTGACTTGTTTCCTTCAGCATAATGCTCTCAAGGTCCAATCCGTTCTGTTTTATGGCTGAGTAATGCTCCATTGTATATATGTGTACCACATTCACTCGTTGGTGGACATTTGGATTATTTCTATATCTTTACTGTTATCAACAACACTGCCTTTACATGGGTGCACATATCTTCCATTTTCTTTGGTTACCTCCTTGGAGGTGACATTGCTGGGACATATGGCAGTTCTGTTTTTAAATTTTTTAAAAATATATTTTTATTGATTTCAGAGAGGAAGGGAGAGGAAGAGGAATGTCAATAACGAGAGAGAATCATTGATCAGCTGCTTCCTGCACACCCCACACAGGGGATCTAGCCCGCAACTCCCGCATGTGCCTGACGGGGAATCCAGCCATGACCTCCTGGTTCATAGGTCGACGCTCAGCCACTGAGCCACGCCGGCCGGGCACCTCTGCCCATTTATTCACTAGATATATCCTTCTAATGACTTGGACACATACTTTAATGTCGTGAAACTCTGAAGTACTCTATGTGTTTGGGTATTTCTCTCTGCCTGTGTCACCCGGCCTCTGAATTCAGTGTTTCAGACCAACCCTGTACATCATGGGTACAAATAAGCATTTCTGTAGCTATGGCTTGTCTTTGTTCCAGATAACGACGTCCCTGTCCTCTTGTTTGAATCCAATGGTGCCTTGATGTACAGCCCCACAGCGACCGCGTACAGAGGTCGTCACCGCGCCATGGAGCAGAGGCTGCAGGAGATGAAGGAGAAGCGGGCAAACCTCTCCCCTACCTGTAAGCCTCACGTGGTCAGATGAGCGCTGTGCTGACCCATCAGTTGTGGTGGGAAGTGTTTGAGTTAAAGTTACCCGATTCCAACAGATTTTAATCTGTCTCCGGGTAGACTTGAAATTTTCTTCCAGAAATTCCTTATGCTTCATTAATATAAGGTGTCCCCCCAAAATATATACACAGACAGTTTTTAGTAGCTCGGTTGATGTTTCTTTCTTTTCAGATTTAACCCATTGGAATTAATAATTATTTAAAGTGTGTATACATTTTTTTGGAACACCTTTATTTTAGGCGTATATTGAGTGTATAGTTAGTATTCTCCAGGGTTAAGAGTAGAATGTGGGCTTTCTGCTGGCTGCATCTGAAAAAATAACAAAATTGTATCTAATGTTTTGATTATGCTTCCAGCTTCCCAGATGATGGAAAAGTCTTTCGATAACCCAGCTCACGCCTCCTGTGAAGCTTCTTTGAATATCTCACATGACACTTTGTGTTCAGGTAGATCATTTTCTGTGATATTTTAGCTTTAAGAATATTATGTTTTCTCTTATTTGGAATTTTATTTGATGAGAAGACTAGTTACTTAAAACTAGAATTCCCTGAATTTACCCTGAAATTAGGAATTATAGTAAGAAGTAGTTCATTGTAATAAGCACATGACGTGTTTGTGGTTCCTGTGGTTTTTCTCTTGGGCATTTTCTTTCTGGGCACAGAATCAGTTGCTCATTAAAAGAAAACAAACAGTTACAATCTCAGGTGAGCTAACTTGCGATTCAAGCGTCCAGTACAGAGCACAGTAGGAGCTGCAGAAGCGGGTTCCGCAGCCTGTGCAGTGGGTGCAGGGAGAGTGTGATCACATGGGTCACAACACACCTCCCGGGCGTCCCCCACAGGCTGGGGTCTCCCTGACCCGAGGACGTGCTGGGAAGGTGCCACTGTGAGGGAGCTCCGGTGCCCGTGGGGATGGAGACCTTCTAAGTGCACTCGCTCCCTGTTTTCCAGAGGACTCCTGGGCTGGCGGCCTGCAGTCATCTTTTGACGATCCTTGTGGAGACTCGGGGCATGGGGATCAGGAGAGGAAATCGGGAGGACCCGCTGACGACACTAGAAGCCCCCTGTGTGCTTCGTCACCGGCATTGGAAACGAGCAGCGTTCGCGCACCTGCGTCTCCCAGGTACCTCGGCCGGCTCGCACCTCAGATGCCTGAGCGCCATCGTGCGGAGGAGGACGCGGGTTGGCAGACGGACCCTGCAGGCGTGGCGGCCACCCCTGACCAGCAGCCTTCGGTAACTAAAGGCCACCATCTGGGACACGTAGCCAGGAGCTCCTCCGCGAAGAGAAAGCGCCCGTTGGAGCACGCCCACGCGCCCCCGGAGGGGAGGCCGAAGAAGCCCAAGTGCGGCCGGAAGTCTGCTGTGCGGCTGTTCTCCTCCCCCAGGGGCCAGGCCCCGGCCAGCCCGGCCTTGGGGACTCCTCCTGGGGGCACGTCCTCCTATGAGGATTACTTCTCACCAGACAACCTCTGGGAGAGGAGCCTGGGGACTCTCCCTCCAGGGCTGCAGTCGCCTCCTGGCCCCGCCCACCCCCCCTGCAGAGCCGGGCTCTCCAGGCGGGAGCGAGCCAGCATCCTGGGCATGTCCGACTTCTCCTGCCTGGGCAAGGACCCCAGCTTGGTCCCCGCTGCCAGTGCCACTGCCCAGGCCAGCCCGGGGCTTCATGCACCTGCAAGTGGGGGGTCCCACGCACCTGTCCCGAGGAACATGCCTGCTGCCGAGGCCGCTCCGGGGCGCGGCCCCCCTGAGGATGCTCAGAGAGGAGACGGGAGCCCTGAGGGACACCACGGGGCCGGCACCCCCGGCGGCAAGGAGAGCGGGGACCCGGCGGATGTGAGGCACCCGCGGGAAGAGGACGCCACCTCTGGACGGTTGAGTTCCCCTGCAGGTGAATCTCAGTGAGGAGCTGGGTGTTGTAGGTGACGGAGTGTGGAGGATCCAGAGAACGGGAAGACGTAGCCAGAGGGTGCAGAGGGGACGGCGGCCCGTGTCTGTTACAGGAATGTGGCATGGCGTATCCATCTTTACATTCATCAGAGCTTTTCTGTAATTGAACATATTTTTCTTTTTAAAGATTGTGGGCTTGACACTCTCCAATGGTACGTTCTTTAGGGTCCTGGCTCACCTCTCTGTGGGGTTTCTGGGTCCCACCTGCTGCTACGGACCTGCTTCTCTCACCCTTACCTTCTCAGGCGAGAGCCATCCTCGGAGGCACCGCCGGCAGCCTCGGCGCAGCTGCTGTGCAGGCCACTCGGGTGATCGCAGTTCCCCACGGGGGGCTGTCGCCTCAGAGGGAAGTGAAGGTGGCGTCGGCCGATTCTGTCGGGACAGGGAAGGTGTGGAAAGTGCATGGACATATGTGATCAGTATTTGCTTTGAAGAAGCTTTGGGCTTTGTTTGCTATAAAGACATAGATAATGTTTTCCTTCGTAAGGGGTTCATGGCAGCAGGCCTTCCTTAATTCTATTTATTTTGCTTTAAATAGGTTAAATGTCATTCAGATAGATTTATTCCACTCTGTAACTTAGTTGTGGCCATATTAGCGAGCTCTGCATTGTAGTAATTTCAGCAAAGGCAGCAGAATCAGAAAACGCTTTGCGCTTTCCGGCTTTGAGCAGAACTGTGCGTCAGCCATCAGAATGCGAAACCTTGAAATTCAACTGTCTTTACCAACGGTTGGGCTGAATGTTTCACTAAGACCAAGTGTATTCTTCCCCATTTTTCTGTTCCTCAAATGCTGTTAACCACCCTTTTCAAGATGGAAAGTTTGGGGTTGAAATAATCGTAGATGTATTGTATATCTTTTCCTTGGAAGTAAATGAACTTCCCAAAATCATCTCACAAAGAGGATTTTGTATGTTTTTAATTTAATTTTTATGTCTCATTTTTCTGAAAATATATAAAATTTGACAAGAAAGTGTATCTTATATTCCATTATGCTTAGTATGTGTTTGCAAATATTTATTTTAAAATGGTGTGGACTGTAAAGGGAGTTCAGAACACTGGGCCATAGACTAGTTTTGGTGGTTCAGGATATCCCTGGCTGTGCCCTGTGTATTTCAGAGCTTCGAGTGCTATTTGTGACACCCACGTACAAAGCACGTACACGCAGGTGTGGCGAGCTGGTGTCGGGACGCAGTGCGCCCTGGGGTGTCAGGAGGCGGCTGGTGGTCCTTGGGGGACTCACCCAGTGCCCGCGCCCTGTGAGGTCGGTAGCTCAGGCCTCCAGGAACTTCCAGTCCAGCCACCGCCAGGTGTGGGCTGCCACGCAGAGGGTGACTCGGAGCCCCTGTCATGCCACAGGGACAAGATCCTGGCCCTTCAGGGCCAAGGAGGCCTGCGCATCGTCTGGTCTGATCTGAGCCTGGCTTTGTGGTGATGGAGTCAAGACCCGTGGTGTTGCGGTGGCCCATCCTCAGCCATGGTATCACCTCCCCTGGGAATCGGCTACGTGTCAAAGGGGGCGGGGACGGGGTGAGGTCAGAAAGGCCGCGGCAGCCTGGGGCTCGCTGTGGTTTGGCAGTGCGATGAGAGGCCAGACGCCCTTGGACATGGCCTGACCCACCTGCGCTACGCCGGGTCTCTCCCCCTGAGGCCATGGCTGGGATGCAGGAGGCCAGGAGGGAGCTGAATAATGCAAGTCGAGTGTAGAGCTCGCTGAGGAGACAGTGGGGCCAGCATGTGGTCAGCTGTGTCTCCAGAGGCCTCGGGTAAGTTGCTCCTAGGTGCTCAGGACCTGGCGTTTTTAGGGCCTGAGTTGCAAAGAACTAGTTTTAATTCAGGAAAACATTCAGCCCTCGTTTGGCACTTGGTTGGAAGAAGGGCTGACACTTTCTGTCTGACCCTCAGCGTCATTGTGCCTCGTGTCAGAGTGCCCGCGTCAGCCCCTCTCGTGTTGGGTCACTTGGTTTCGCTGGTGCTTGCGTTGTTTCTGCCTCGTATTGACTCGTCTGCTGCGTTGTCTGCTGGCTTGTGCTGCCAGGCTGGGCCGTGCTCTGCCTCGTATCTGCAGCGAGCAGTGTTTACAGGAAGGTGCGTCACCGGCCGCGTGGGCCGGCTGAGCAGCCCCTGCCCGGGCTGGGGCGGGAGTGACCCCAGGCCGCTGCCTGCTGGACCCTGGAGGCCAGGCAGGTGGTGGTGGTGTTAGGCCTCAGGACAGCAGCTGGTTCAGAGCGTGGGCGGCCATCCAGGGAGGGCAAGCAAGGACAAGGAGACACATGAGGCCACGTCACTGGATGGGTGTCTTTCTTTTCTTTGATCCTCACCCGAGGACATTTTTTCCATGGATTTTTTTTTTTTCAGGACAGTGGAGGGAGAGAGAGAAACATGGATGAGAGAGACACAGCGATTGGTTGCCCCCCCTACTGGCAGGGGCTTGAACCTGCAACCCAGATGTGTGCCCTTGACCAGACTCAACCCGCAGCCCCTGGGGCTGACGCTCTAACCACAGCCAAACCGGCCAGTGCTCGATGGGGTCTTTTGAGGGTGTGTGTCCTCACAGCGGACGCTGGTGTCGGGTGGAGATGCAGAGATGCGTAGGGAGTTTGCAGATTGGTGCCCGGGGGTGGAGGGGGCTCATCTCCAGCCACTGGCACTCACCCAGGGCTGAGACCTGTGTCCTCCTCTGGAGGGCGGGCTTGGATCGTCGTATAAAACAGAACTGCGGGAGATGCAGGCGTCTGTCCTCACGGGCAGGTGGACGCCTGGGCCGGTGGAGCAGCACGTTGTCGCCCATCCGGCAGTCATACCTGACCCCCGAGTCGGGGGATTGTGTGGCACGTTGGGCGGCGCGAAGGGAAGGTCCGGAGCGGACCTCAGCGCGGGAGAGGCTGCGCTGCTGTTTGCAGGCTCTGCCTCCGGACCCGCGCAAGTGCCCCTTGACGTTCCATTTGCTTGGGCTGCCTGGGCCTTCAGTGCGTGGCAAGTGCTGACTGACCTCCAGGCCCTGGTTGCAGGTGTCAGGCCTGGACCGGCGAGGCAGGATGTCCCGGAAGGCGCCCAGGAAGGCCGTGAGGACCTCGCCAGACCCGCGGCCACGAAGAAGAGAGCGAGAGGCCCCAAGGTTGGTGTGTGATGGTCCACTAACTGTCCCCAGGCCGGCTCGCAGGGTTGGGGGGGGGAGCTTGGGGGGGGGGGAGCTGTCCTCCTGTGTGAGGCTGGGGCCCTGTGGCTCCTGGCCCGTGTGGCTTGTAGAGATGCCAATGGCCCCTCTCGAGGCGAGAGTGTCGGCTGTGCCAGAAATTGTTCTATAACCTGAACAAACGTTGAGGGGTAGGAGGTGAGGAGCCCACCCATCCTTCAGTGAAGGGTCAGGCTCGGCCTCCAGCCGTGGGCGTGTCCAGGCCCTGGGTGCGGGTGCCCAGGCCTTTCTGCTCCCAGGAGGCAGGGACGGGCGGGCGGAGCTTAGCATTGTGTGCACATTGAAGACCTTTCACTCGCTCTGCTGCTTTCTCTCTTAGCAGCGAAGTGTTTTTATCAGGGTGCGCACACTGGTTAGACGTGATGCTGCCGCACACTCAGTGGACTGTGGTGTCGCACAGACAGCCTACGTGCGCTGGGAGACGGGAATGCGTGACTTGCTTTATTGTGACACGCCTCGCCGTGTCTGGTGCGGAGCCCACACTGCCTCCAGGGCCTGCCTTTGTTTATCTGTTAACGAAACAAAACAAAAACTAGTAGAGAGGAAAAGTAACTTCAGAAAACCAGGTAGCCAGCCAAGTCCTATGGCCCCTGGATGGGCCTCTGGGAGCCAATCAGAGCCGGGCAGCGGGGGGAGGGAGGACTGTGCATCTCTGGCCACGACGTTTGCTTCTGCCCATGAGTCTGGGCCTCATCCGTGGACGACCTTCGTAGGGGGTTTTTAGAAGGTGCATCAAACTCTCACTGCAGGAAATGGACACGTGTTAATGACTGTTTAGCTCATTCACTCATGATGGGACCACAAAGCTGGTCTGTCTGTTCCGAGGAGCAGCCGTGAGCCCGCGCACAGTGGCCGGGGCCTCTCGCCGTCCGGGGGGCGGGCATCCGGAGGGGACTGGGTTTTCTCTTCCACCTCACGTCTGGGTTATTCTGGGTTGGTGTGGGGACACTATCCCCCTTTCTATCTCATAGGCTGTTGGTTTCCAGGAAGACAAAGCTGTTTTCCTTTGATATTTGCTTAACTGTTTATTTTTAAGTGATGTCACTGTAGAAAAACACATGTCACTGTTTATTTATGTGGGAAAATGTTTTTTACATTTTTGACCCTTTTTTCTTCTCTTGAACCCTCTAGCCAGTGAGAACGTTGGTCATGACCAGCATGCCCGCTGAGTAAGTACTCGCCGTTGGATGGCTTTCTCCTCCATCTAGCGCTGTAGCCTTGGCTTCCTGTATGTCCCGGGGGCTGGGCTCTGGCAGCCGCCGGCCAGGACTGTCTCTCAGTTGTGCTATATCACAAACATCGAGTTAGAAAATCCCTCAGCACCTGAAAGACTGAGTGTGCCCCGGCCAGGCTCCGTGGTTAGAGCATCAGCCCAGGGCCTGGCAGGTCGCGGGGTGCAGGGCACGTCCTGAGGTTGCGGTTGGCTCCCGGCCCGTAGGGGCGCTGGCGGCAGGCAGCCAGTCCGTGTGTCTCTCCCCCGCCTTTCCACTCCCTCCGAAAAATCCATGGAAAATATCGTGGGGGAGGATTGAAAAAGTAGAAGACCGAGCAGGTCCGCCCTGAAGCTGGGTGCGGAGCGGGCGGAGGGCTCGCACCTGTTGCTTTGCCTGTTGCTCAGCTGGCGCGAGTGTGAGCACCCAGCCCAGGGTCGCACCTGTTCGGCCGGGAGCCCGCTCCCATTTCCCTGAAGTGCTGAGCAGGCTCTGGCGGGAGCTCCCTGCATGCTTGGTGCGCGTCCACACGTGTCCTGAGGGTGCAGAGCCGCTGGACAGCACGGCACTTCAGCGGAAATGCGGCACCATCTTCGTGACAGATGTTGGAATTCCTGTTTACAGGGACCCCTGTGTTTCTTCATGTCAGCCATAGGTTTTAAGGTTTTGAGATTCTCATCGAAACCTGGGCCCTTTCCGTGAAAATCAGGCGTGCGAGTTCCACGCATCGCAGGAGCAGGTCCCTTCCTGCCGAGCCACCACTGAGAGGCAGGCCCGCCGCGGCTGGTGGGCGCGCTCCGGCTGCACACTCCCGGCTGGTTCCTGCCCGTCTAGGGCGTGGCGAAGCCGTCGCAGCCGGGCCTGCGCTCAGCCCTTCACGCGACGCTCAGTGAGAGCGACACCCTGTGTCTCCCGGGGTCCCAGTGATGGCGTGGGAGACGGGGACGTGGCAGCACAGCTGAAAGGGGTGCAGAAGCGCAGCCGTCCTGGCCTTTCGATGGGCTGCGTCCCCGATGCTCCTGCAGGAAGCCTTGACGGTGCTGTTTTCCCTCCGACAGCAAGCAGAGCATCGTCACCCGGGTGGTGGCCAAACTGAGAGGCTTCTCGTTGGCCCGAGAAGTGTGTGAGAGCACCACCCACGTGCTGGCCGGGCAGGCGCTGCGCACCCTCAACGTGCTGCTGGGCCTGGCCCGCGGCTGCTGGATCCTCTCCTACGAGTGGGTGAGTCTGTGCTGGGCCCATGTTCCCACGGAGACCGTCCTGATAGTGGGGGTTTGAGCTGGGCCCCGAGTTCCCACTGAGACCGTCCTGGAGTGGGGGTCTATGCTGGGCCCCAAGTTCCCACTGAGACCCTCCTGGGAGTGGGGGTTTGAGCTGGGCCCCGAGTTCCCACTGAGACCGTCCTGGAGTGGGGGTCTGTGCTGGGCCCCAAGTTCCCACTGAGGCCCTCCTGGGAGTGGGGGTCTGTGCCGGGCCCCGAGTTCCCACTGAGACCCTCCTGGGAGGGGGGGTCTGTGCTGGGCCCCGAGTTCCCACTGAGGCCCTCCTGGGAGGGGGGTCTGTGCTGGGCCCCGAGTTCCCACTGAGGCCCTCCTGGGAGTGGGGGTCTGTGCTGGGCCCCGAGTTCCCACTGAGTCCCTCCTGGGAGTGGGGGTCTGTGCTGGGCCCCGAGTTTCCACTGAGGCCCTCCTGGGAGTGGGGGTCTGTGCTGGGCCCCGAGTTTCCACTGAGACCGTCCTGGGAGTGGGGGTCTGTGCTGGGCCCCGAGTTCCCACTGAGACCGTCCTGGAGTGGGGGTCTGTGCTGGGCCCCAAGTTCCCACTGAGACCCTCCTGGGAGTGGGGGTTTGAGCTGGGCCCCGAGTTCCCACTGAGACCGTCCTGGAGTGGGGGTCTGTGCTGGGCCCCAAGTTCCCACTGAGGCCCTCCTGGGAGTGGGGGTCTGTGCTGGGCCCCGAGTTCCCACTGAGACCCTCCTGGGAGGGGGGTCTGTGCTGGGCCCCGAGTTCCCACTGAGACCATCCTGGGAGTGGGGGTCTGTGCTGGGCCCCGAGTTCCCACTGAGGCCCCCCTGGGAGGGGGGGTCTGTGCTGGGCCCCCAGTTCCCACTGAGACCGTCCTGTGAGGGGGGGTCTGTGCTGGGCCCCGAGTTCCCACTGAGGCCCTCCTGGGAGTGGGGGTCTGTGCTGGGCCCCGAGTTCCCACTGAGACCCTCCTGGGAGTGGGGGTCTGTGCTGGGCCCCGAGTTCCCACTGAGACCGTCCTGGGAGTGGGGGTCTGTGCTGGGCCGCAGGTTCTGACCCTGATGGTGCTGCAGTGGGCTGGGTTGCCCGGAAATGTGGGCAGGAGAGTCGTGCCCTGCACACCGTTTTGGTTGCACACCTTCCTGCGGCCCTGCCTGCATTCTCGGGTCGGGGGCGGGGGGAGGACCCTCGGCCGCCGGAAGAAGCCCGATTAGAGCCGAAGGGAAGGGAGACGCCCTGTGCATGTTCTCACAGTTGCACGTACTTTCCCGCGTTCCCACGTCTGAGCGAGAGGTAATGTGACCTACGTCGGGGTGGTTTCAAAAGCCCCCAGAATTGGCTGATGGTTTTGCAGATGGCTTCCCTGAGGTGAGCCATGTACAGGTGTCCACTTGGACATGTTCTGTCTTACACATCTACCGGAAGCATTACTTGCCCTCATTTCTGTGAATGAAAGGCCATTTACTTTTTTTAATCATTGTTTATGTTATTCGTAAAAAATGAAATTATCTATTGCTTTTACTTGCTCCTCACCCAGTCACTCCGAAGCCTCGCGGTCGGGCAAGTGGTGTCGACCGTTCCTTGCGTGGCTCTTGCATCTGCTAACTGTCCACCCCGGCGCCTCCCGAGACGACTCCTAGTAACACTGTGCTCGCTCCCTCCAGGGCTGTCAGTGCTCTGCCCTGCGGCAGCTCTGGACCAGCTCTCAGGCCTGGGAAGCAGAAGACATCAGAGCTTAAGGTCCCGAGTGGGAGGGAAATGGCCTGGGACGCTCTGTCCGCATCGGTGGCGGTTGGGGGTCACTGTGCCTGATCGTATGTCAGGACTGACCCACACAGACGGGCATGAGATGGCACCTGTAAGTCGGCTTCCGTGAGTGATGCCCTGTTCTCTCTCCTGGTCACGACGTGGCCTCCTCAGACAGCGGCTCCTCCCCTCACGTCCCAGAGGAAGAAGGTCCTGTATCTATGGAGATGCCTCTGTGCCAGCCTGCCCCCCTGGCACCTGGTGTGTCCCCTCTGCCCCCCTGGCACCTGGCGTGTCCCCTCTGCCTCCCTGGGCGCCTCTGCGCCCCCCAGGGTGTAGCCTGGGCCTCCCACGAACCCTCTGCAGAAGCGGAGCAGGAGCCAGGTGCAAGGTTCTCCTGCCTGTGGGATTTTCCTGCCTGTGAGGTTCTCCTGTCTGTGGGGTTCTCCTCTCTGTGGGGTTTGCCGCTGAGTGTGAGGAAGGTGGGGGGGCGGGGGAAGGGGAGTCAGTGCATGGCTAATACAGTGGGGCCTTGACTTACGAGTTTCATTCGTTCCGTGACGGAGCTCGTAACTCAAATTACTCTTACATCAAATCATAAAGTGAACGAGTGAGACACGTGATGCTGGGCTGATGTGGTGGCGTTCACTGTGGCATTCACTGCGCCAGCTAGCGGCGGGGTATCTGAAGCTGGCTCATAACCCGAATTTTAACTTGCAACTCAAAGCAAGAAATCGGCCGAGAGACGGCTCATATCTCGAAAAACTCGTTGGTCGGGACACTCCTAAGTCACGGCCCCGCTGTACAGGGCCGGTCCCTGCCGGGTCCCCAGGGTCTGCTGGAAGAAGCAGCCACTCAGGCCCGAGGGAGTGACGGCACCACGGCACCACAGCGTTGGAGGGAGCATAGCTGCCGCCCCGCCCGTGGGGAGCTCACCGCGGCCTGGTGACAGCGGCCTGGTGACGCGCCGAGCGGCCCAGGAGGCAGTTTGTCAGGGCCAAGGTGGCAGCATCCGCCGTGCCCCTCGGGGAGCCCGTCTGTGCGAGAGGACGGCTCTCTGTGGTCCCCCCTTCCCCAGTGCCCCAGTGCAGCGTGGGGGATTCTTCAGCACTCCTGGTGAGCAGCTCGCCTCCAAGGCACACCGGCCGGGAGTGTTTACTTCGGGGCCGTGTGGTGGCCTCTGGAAATTTCTCGTCGCATCCTCGCCGTAATTCCAAACGGACGGTTGTCTGTGGCCCACGCCGTCTCTCAAATACTGTGGTGATTTTTCTAACAAAACCCATGTGTTTCGTGTTTTTCTTTGGGAAGCGCGCTGGCGGCCCAGAACGCTGGGTCTCCCGCTCCTGGGTCTCCGCTTCCCGCTGGTGCCGGAGGTAGAGAGGACGGCGGCGTGGCGTGTCCGTGGGCAGCAGGCGGGCGCGGCACAGCGGGAAAGGAGGAACTGGCCTGACCACAGGCCCCGTTAGGTTGAGACACCGCATTCCGTCGTGTTGTGCTCAGCCGTGGGCTCCGTGGATCCTTCTTCGCTCCTCGGCTCCTCGCCGTCACGGGCTGGTGTCTCCCGCGCTCTCGGTGTGGCCTCCGGGGAGGGTGACCCGCCTCCCTCCTGTCCCCAGGGGTGGAGTCCGTGCCTGGGAGAGGGAGCCGGCGAGCCTGTCAGCTGTGTCGGGGAGGAGGGGGGTCTGAGCTCGGTGTCGGTGCAGGCCTTTCATTGGCCAGACGGGGGCCACTCGGACATCGCCGCCTTCCCCCGTCCTGGGGTGTCGTGCGGCCATCTGACCTGGGGCTGTGTGCTCATGAGAGGTACCGGGGAGGCCCGCGCTCTGGGAGCTGGAGCAGAGCCTGGGGGCGCGGGAGGAGGTGTGGGGGTCCCTCCCTGGCTGCTACCAGGGGGACCCGAAGCCAGCACTCACCTGTGAGAGTAAACGAGAGAGAGGCTGAACGTACTTTACAATCTCAGAACGAGAGACCTGGAGGCTGGAACGGCTGGAATCTCTGAGGGAAGGTGGGGGTTGGGGTGGGGGGGGAGATCAACCGAAGGACTTTATGGGTGGAGGCCAGTGATGGCGAACCCTTTGAGCTCGGCGTGTCCGCATTTTGAAAAACCCTAACTTCACTCTGGTGCCGTGTCACACATAGAAATTTTTTGATATTTGCAACCATAGTAAAACAAAGACTTCTATTTTTGATATTTATTTTATATATTTAAATGCCATTTAACAAAGAAAAATCAACCAAAAAAATGAGTTTGCATGTCACCTCTGACACGCGTGTCATAGGTTCGCCATCACTGGTGTAGGCATAACCCATGGACACAGACACCGTGTGGTGGGGGTGGGGTGGGCTAGAGGGGTCATTGGGGGACAGAGGGGACATCGGTAATACTTCCAACAATAAAGCTTTCAAAAAGAATTTTAGAATTGCTTCTGGCCTCTGAGCTGAGAATGTCCCATGCAGGCATCGTGCATCACCATAAACTGCAAGCGTGTCCTTTACGTGAGTTCCTGTGAGAGCTCAGGACAGTCGGGTGACCTGGGCTCCTGTGAGAAAAGGACTTTGCAGCCCAAGTTCATGGGAAGAAGGGCAGGAGCCCGAGTTGCTCCCAGCGCCTGACACTGGACGATTGTTGCTGCTGAGAGCTCTGCTTTGTTTCCATAAAGATGCCCCTGCTGTTTGTCTCACTTGCGTTGGAATGTGTTACATTTATTTTTGTTTTCATTTTGATAAGGGACATAGGAGCCCGTGTTATTTATAAAGACGCTTGGCCTTCGCGCGTAACTGCTGGAGGGAGGCGGGGTCGCCCTGCTCTGTGCTGGTGAGATGTAAGGCGTGGCCGCCAGGCGTGCGGAGCTCCCAGCCCCAGAATAGCCGTTCAGCATCCTGTGGTCTCCATCGCTGTCGCCATGGGCCGTGCTGCGTGCGGCTTCCTCGCTCCTCCATCGGAGGCTTAGTGTCTGTCCGCTCACATCTCTTAAAAAGGGAAAGGGCCGAAACCGGTGTGGCTCAGTGGATAGAGCGTCGGCCTGCGGACTGAAGGGTCCCGGGTTCGATTCCGGTCAAGGGCATGTACCTGGGTTGCGGGCACATCCCCAGTAGGAGATGTGCAGGTGGGAGCTGATCGATGTTTCTTTCTCATCGATGTTTCTAACTCTCTATCTCTCTCCCTTCCTCTCTGTAAAAAAATCAATAAAAAAAATTTTTTTTTTTTTTTTAAAGGGAAAGGGTTCCCAGC